GCCACCATTTACTGGAGAATTCTAACATTTAGCCAAATAATTTTTAAAAAAGGCAATTATCAAGTGATGTACAGACGATCCAAAATCTTCATGCAATCAAAAAGAAACTTAAATCCAAGCTAGTGGTAATGTACATGAGTTATCCCATACAGAGTTGCTGAAGCAACTATGATTACACACTGAAATGCCAAAACATGTCAACACTCAGCATCAAATAAAAGTCCTGCCATAAATCTCAACAGGAAATCAGGGTTCAACACATCATATGCAATGAAAAGCTTACAGAAGGAGAAAGGGCAAAGTAAGGTCCTCAGCAAAGAGGGAGAAGAGTGAGACAAAACAGATGAAAGAGCAGAAGGAACCAATTAAGACACTGATAAACTTAGAACTTTTTGCTCATTAAAGCGGAAAGCATATTTTATGTAATAACCCATGCCACATTTTTATAAACCAGTGTTATTTTACTGTTAATACTACACATGCATACAGACAGTCTTACTCTGAAAGGAAAATTCATTTTGATTTTACAGAGAACTGAAAGAAGATTATATTTATAAACACTAGGCTGAGCACTGAAGCTTTCAGCAGCAGTGGCACCAGGGCTGTGTAGAGGGATGCTGCAGCTCCTGTTTCAGCGGAACATATCACCACTACATGAAGAATAGCTGTATAACACTCTTTCCACCTAACACTGTACAAAGTGATTCACACCAATACTCATTTCTTAAACTTTACCTTTTAGAACAGCTTATGAAGCATGATGCAGTCTTGAAACATAATTATCTTCCTCTTTTTTTTTTTTTTTCTTTTTTTTTCCCTAATAAAGCAATGCATAAAATTACTTTCTACTGCCTTAGGTGTCCCTACTTTTCCCTAAGCCTGGATGAAGAGACAGGAGTGGCTCTGTAGGGACTGCTCCCATCACATAACCTGAGGCACAAAGTACCTCAAGGGCACACTTTGACTGCCTCCTTTCCCTTTGCTCCTAAATAAACTCAGTACTCCTCTAGTACTGTCTATCTGATTCTGCCCAGCAGGAGATGCTTCAAGAGAACAGGAAGAATGGGCACCCATGTGACAACCTGCCTCCTGAAGGGATGTTTCTACTGCTTGCTGTCTTACACACTTCTTCTTCCAGGCAAAAAGGGCTGCTTTGGTGAGTTTGGCTCACAGCAGCACTCTGCAGCTCAGTCTAGGTGTGGAAGCTACAAGAAGGTATTTACAAACTGTGCTTTCTAGATTCGAATTGTTGCTTGAATAGATGACTGAATATGCTTTGGAGTGGTGCAGAGCAGAAAAATACTTTTAAAACTGTAATTGCAGATCATAGCAATGAAGCAGCTAGACTAAGAATAAACACAGCAAGTGTACACTCACCAGAATCACTATATACACATGTACACACATACCCATCCACGCACATACTTGGCAATGGCAACAGCTCAAGTATAACTAGACTAAAAGCCATTTCTGAAGACGTTTCTAAGGTTACTCGGTTAAAACTGAGTCATTGCATGCTGTTGCATGTCTCATTTGAAATTCAGGATGAAGTCTAAGAATTGCCATTTTTATAATTTCAAGTTGTTTCATAATCGACTTTGTAGGAAATTAATATAAAAAATGCCATCTCTTCAGTTAAGTCTTACACAGATTATGTTTTGGGCAATCTTTGTAACTTTTGATTTCAGTCTTTTTAAAAATGGATCATATCTGAATGTCTTCTCTTTCAAATACCTAAGGCTGGCAGTGATACAATTTGGTTTGTTTAGCACACGGAAACCCAGTAGTACTCATGAACTAGACAGCTCCAGGACAAATTTCTGATATAATGCAGAAATAATTAAAACAAATGTATTATTTGTATTTCCAGTAATTACTACAAATAATAAATTTTTTATTCCCAGAGATTAAAAAAAGATTACTTCATATAACATCATCCCTGTGATGACACATACATACCAATATAATTTCACATTAATCACAGCAGGCAAACCATCAATCAGTGCAATGTGACAACTATTCTCCACTTCTCCTCCTCCTCTCTTGAAAAAAAAAAAACAAACCCCAACAAAAAACAGCAAACACACCACCAAAACAACAACAACAACAAAAAGAACAAATAAAACAACACAAAAAAACCTCAACTCATCTTTGGATGTTGTGAACAAAAAGTAAAAATGTTATTTATTGAACATTAGCCTTATTCGCCTTTCAAAATACAATTGCATGCTCTCCCTCTCAATGGATTTGATTTTTAACATAATGACTGAAAAGCTCCTGCAGTAATATAATATACATACAACTCAAATACTAAACCTGTTCTGAGCAAAAATACCCATAGAAAAAAAAAGAATAAAGGTTGCTTTAGTAGTATCTGTACCATCTGATCCTGCCTAGCTCTAGAGCATATGTTAATTTTAAGCCCCTGTGTAGTCCATAGACTTCAGGGAATCCAGTGAAAGTCTAGAAGATTAGTCAGGCACTTAACACTGCTAGCAAATGTGTAATTCCGGGATGGCAGGGAGGCCATGAGGAACAAGCTTCAGAATGGAAACGGAAAATAAGGGGTGGGAGCACACAATAGGAATCCTTTGCAAAAGAATTGGTCATGTGATAGAGCTCCTTTCAAGGACTACTTGAAAGGCATGTCACCACTGGGGGGGGGGGGGAAGGTATTTATTAACTTATTGTTGCTTACACTGATTCTTTTCGAATAGCAATACTATCTCTTCATTTCTGCCACCTAATACTTATTCAGATTACAGGATTTTCCATTTGTTATAAAATAAAACAAAGAGAGGTTTTGCATATCTTAAAGCAAATCCTTATGAAATACAATGACTCAGGAGATTGATATATTTGTTCTGGTCAACCCAACACTCAGAAAAATTCATGCTGTTTATCAATTTTTACAAACTAAACAGGAAACTCAAATGATCAATCACTATTTTGCTTCCATACAAAAATCCCCACAAAAATACACCAGCCACTTCCTAAATGCATGTATGTATAAGCTTTTCCCTCACCAAAGCCACAAATCAGTGAATCGAGCAACCCCCTGCAGTAGGCTTTAAAAAGACGCAGGTTATGCAAGATGCAGAAGAACTCTTATCAATAGCGTTTGTTTAAAAGCAGTCCATGAAAACGAATGTCAGTTTCTTAACTTTTATTCAAATTGAAGTAGAAGGCCCTATTAGGAATGCCTGTAGAATCACTAATGGCCAAAAAACCTAAATTCACATCACAACTTGGATCTAGACTAGGACAAAGAGCTTCTCCAACACCGTAGCACCTTAAGAGTTATTATGATGGACTTTAAACCCTACAGAAACAAGTTCTGACTAAGCTATCATCACAGATTTGATGCTGCAATGCTGTCAAAGATGCCTTCTTCTTCAAAAAAACACAAAACAAACAAACAAACCAACCAACCAAAAAAACAAACCAAAACCCCAATACCATACAGATTCCATTGCTAAAAGTATATAAAACAGAAAAATGGACCATGCCTGTTAGAAACTTCCCAAATCAAGACTTCTATCCTAGAACAAAGATAAGAAAAATCAGGAAAATACTGGTAGTTCATAGCCACAGGTATATAAGTTCTAAATTGATTTTTTTCTCTGTTCTTTGATGCTGACAGGTCCCTCCATGCCTTTTTATACCCCAACAACTTTTGCTACAGGACGAAGTTAGAAAACGCCATTAAATAAAAAGTCTGTGGCAATTCTAAATTTTCAGTTTTCTCTTTACAAAGGCAGTATTTTATACCTGTGGCCAAGAGTATGATGGACTACAATGGGGGAAGTTTGACTAATATAACTGCTAAAAAAACCATTTTGTATTTTAAGCTTGACTATTTGACAACAGGCTTGATGTAAGTGCCCCAAGATCTCCATTTTAGCATTATTTAGTGATTCTGTTGCTTTACACTTTCTAAAATTTATATATATATATATATATAAAAATATATATAAAGTTTCTAAATCCCTGTCCTTTAAGTATGAAAAAGCCCTCCATCAAATAGTTTTACAAGGAGATAGATTACTACCGTTATTTTATTATCAGTTAATTCAATGTATATGTTTAGACACATTGGAATTATATAGGATGCTAACAACAGCTGGAGTGGGGGAGGGGAGATGGGTAAGAGGAGAAAGGGGGATGAGATCTTAACTCCAGTAAGAAACTTGTGTACCTGACCGATAAACTCAGCTAAACTTCTTTATGTATCCTATTTATCTTCAAATCTATTTATGTCACAGAAGAGAACATATGAGCATAGCAGCTGTTACTATAGCAATGAAACTGGAAATTTTGAGAACACAAAAAAACCACCCCTTGAAGGATGCTCAGTTTAGCACAGAGATGGTTTAGAGAACAGCACACCAGTATCTCACTTCTTAGGATCTGCTCAAAGTCTGCGGTTACAGAGACATTAAATCAGCTGTAACTGCCTGTTCCCCAAAGAGCACTTGAAGCCAAATCACCGCTACCTATTACTCGTCACGACTCGGTACACCAGGAGTTCCTGCTAAGTAACCCCAAACTTGTCAAGTACGCCAGAATCGCCTGTAAATCCGGGGATGCGCGATTCTTTGCAAAAGGCTCACAGGTTCTGATCGCGGCAGAGAAGGGATTCGCCATAGTAACAAACCCGCACCGCGGGTCACAGCGGGGAGCTCGGCGCGGCGAGCCCCGCACCCCTCCCGGCACCACGCACACCTGCCCGGCGCCGGGAAGGCGGGACGAGCCGGGAGAAGTCAGGTACTTTCCTCAAGCAGCAGGCAGGCAGTCTGCCTCTACGGGCACGAACCGAGATGAAACCCACCCACAATCCTCCTACATTTACCGGATTTCTTTCAAACCCACCCCGCTCCCCCCCGCCTCTCCCCGGCCGGCGGCCCTGCCACCCCGCCTCCCGTCCTTCGCCCCCCACCGCCTCTGCGCACCCCCCGTCCCCCGCCGCGGACCCGAGGCGCTGCCGGCCGCGGTTTTACCTGCGAGGGAGCCGGGTCTCTGCAGGGTGGCGGTGGCGTACAGCTCCTGGGAGTGCTTGCTGTACTGATCGGCAGCGTGAACCAGCCGCTTGGTAGGCGACAGGGTGGCGTAAGTGCCGATGGTGGAGCTTAACTGGTGGATAGGAGAGGAGGAAATGTTAGACTGGACGGTGGGCGGGGAGGTCACTCGGATGGGGGACGGCGACAGTCCCGCCGAGGAGACGACGATGTTGATGGGCGAGCTGGTGCTGTAGGACTTGGCCAGGCGGCTGGGGGACTGCTTCGGGGAGGAGAGGCGCTGCGCGGTGGCGTAGGCGGCGCCCTCGGCGGCGGAGCCGGCCCGCGGCAGCTTGGTGGGGGAGCCGCCGGGCTGGGCTGGCAGCGGGGAGCTCACCCGCTGCGCCGGCAGCGTGGAGCTGGCGTAGTAGAGCGCGGCGGCGTGCTGGGGCTCGGGCAGGTGGAAGGCGCTGCCGTGGCTGGGCGCGAAGGGCTCCCGCGGCTGCGGGGCGGCGGGCGGCGGCGGCGGCTCCGGGCCGCCCGGGTGGGCGCCGCGGCCCCCCGGGCCCTGCTGCAGGAAGGAAAGGCAGAGGCGTCAGCGGGGGGCGGCGGCGGCGGGGGGCGCCCCGCTCACCCCGGCCCTGCGAGGGCGGGGGCCCGCTGGCCGGGGAAGCCCCCCGGCCGCCCGCAGCCCCCTCTGTGACCTCGAAGCAGGCCGGCACCCGGCGCCCGTGGGATTACGGGGCTCGTTAATCTGCTAAAGCATTCCCAGCCTTTGAGGGGGAAAAAAAAACCTGCCGCCGGCTCGGGCCCAACGGCGTCGAAAGTCCTCCCGACAGCTGAAGCCGGCACTCGGCCGTGGGGCGCAGCGCTCCGGGGCGCCGGAACGCACTCGCCTACCGACCCCTAAACCAGGCAGAGGTTAGCCCCGGCTCAAATAAATACATGCATAGAGTTACGCCCGCGCCCCTTTATTCTGCGTACATTAGAGAAGAGCAGCCGAAGCCACGGAAAGGGCTTTAATGGAGTAACTTTCCTCGGTTTCCAGCAATCTCTGTCCGCACGAGGAGAGGCACCACGTCGGACGGGGGCAGGCACCGCACCGGGGATTCCCTGTCCCCGGAGGCAGCAGGACCGCGGCCCCAACCTCGTGTAAAGGGGCGGAGGGAGGGGAATCCCGGGCCAGTCCTCGCCAAGCCCCGCCGGCAGCACGGAAAGCGGCCGCCTCGTACTTATTTACGCTGCACGAAAGGGGCGGGTGGTACGGGAGGAGCGGCCGGGGCCGGGCCCTCCCCCGGACCGCATCCAGCGGAGAATCTGCATCCGGATGGAGGGAGGGAGGGAGCTCCCCACACGGACCGGCTGGCCAAGAGCAAGGCAGCGCTAAGTTCCTCCGAAGGGCAGTAATTGAAGGGGGCTGGGCAAAAGGAGCGAGCGAAAATCCTCGGGAGATGCTGCCTATGAGAAATTTCGGTTATGTGCCTGAGCAGCTTCTGGATCCGCAGAGGATGGAGCTCGCCCTCACACACAGACGGCTTCCTCTTTTTTTTGTTGGGGATCTTAAGCTCGGGAGAACATCTATGAATCTGGTAACATTAAAATCCTCTCATAACTGCCCCCCGCAGTGAGCGAGAGCTCAGCACTCTGTTGGAAGATGCACTCTTGGATTCAGATACTGTGGGGTTTTTTTGTTTTGTTTTGTTTTGTTTTCCTGGTTATGCAGGGGATTTACTTGAAACCTCAGAAAGCGCTCCGCATCCTCAGAATAGACAGTGTAGTTTGAATCGGTGTGACCAGTGCTTTGCAGGAACACACGCACACCTCAGTTACTGATTTCGTTAGCGAGAAGAGGCTTTAAAATGCGAATAATGAATTTTGTGACTCAATTCAAAGAGGTGTGATGAATGCCAAGAGCAGCATTCTTATACATTTAAATAACAATGTGGGTTTTTTAGTAGCGCCCTACAGAAAAAAAGAAAAGCAAGTAGGCAAGCAAAAGCACCATGTTCCTAGTATGAAATTTGATTTATTTTCACTAGGATACTCAATAAAGGATTTGGTCAGGAACCGAGGACAAGGTAACTAATTGGAGCAAAGAATAAACGAGGTTCAAAATGCCAGAAATGTGTACTTCTACCTATGTATGCCCAATGGGGACTTTTCTGTCCTTTTTTTCATCTTAAATGCCTTGCATCTAGGGGAAGAATATGTATTTTCCTAGAGAGCGACAAGAAACAAGGTTTTAGAGAAGCTGCTCCTGGTGCTTTGCTCTCAATTGTTAGTAGCATGGAAGAAGCTACAGCACTTATTGCGTTCAGGCCTCTCAAGGGAGCACTGCCAGACCCAAACCTCACTGGCTTCGGGAGGTTTTGCTCCTCATAGAGCAATGGCTTTACAGATAAATGAAGTGTAAACTGTTCCCTCGACGTGCTCTGTGTGGTAACTCCAGGACGAGCAAGTGGATCACAGATGTAAGTAGCCTGCTGTCTTTTGAATTGGACTGTTCTGATGGCAGCAGCGAGTTACAAACACCACAGCATCAAGTACAAGCCTTGACATTTTCAAAAATGGGCAACAAGTGCAAGTTGCTCGTTTGAAACACTCCTGACAAAAATCAGGAAGGCCAACTCTAGGAACATCAATGAACTTTCAAAAGCTACTTTCATGTTGAGCTACTTACCGTGTCTGCTTTAAACTGGGAAGAAGGGCTACTCTGCAACTGACTGTCCAATAATCTATTTGACAGGAGTACAGTTTTCATTTTCCAGGTTTAGACTATATGGTAACAACTTTTATAAAAGAAAAACAGGCCAGCATGATGTAAGACAACATGGACAGAACAAATTCTGCACGTAACGAAAAGTCATTCAAACCAGCTACATTATCAATTGATATTTGTTAATAAATATTACTTTTTGGACTGTTAAGTGGCATAATAATTTGTTTTGTAATAAATACTGTTCCAAAAATACAGTCTTCTGCAGTAGTACCTGTGTCTTCTGCAACACACTAATGGTAACTTGGACAGTTTTGTCTTGATCATAAGGATTTTACAAAAGTACTATAATCATGTATACAAAATTTCTTTTTCTAATCTGATTCCACACTGCTTAATGTGTCAGGGATTTAGAGTAATTAATTTCAAGTAAACCAATGTTATTCCATATTCCTAATAAATCTCTGTAAAGCTGTGGGCATTCTACAAGTACTAATTCAAAAAACCAACAAGAAAATAAAATCCCATTTCATAACTATTTGTTATATGGAGCAAAGTGTAGTGGAGGGACACAAGAATTACATGCTTAATTAGAAGTGCAGTGTATAGCCCTTCTTAAAAAGCTAAGCATTTGCTCTGTGTGAAGTAGAGAACTTTTGGATGAACACATTGCAATGAAAACATTAGCATGCAGTATTTTCTAGGATGTGACTAATCTCAGACCTGTCTTAAATGTACCATGAGGTTCTTATATTTTTTCAAAGGCACAAGTGTACAGTAACATTCTCCATGTATGTTTTCAGAGGCAAACTGTGTTTTAGTTTCTCCTTGTGTTTCTCCCAGTCTGTTGCTTAAGATATCCATACAGGCATGTCATTGTTCATCCTGCAATATGACATACTTCATATAGAAGACTGAATTACAATGGTATTTTTCCTTTTATCCGTTACTGTCAACCTGACAACAAAACTGTGTTTAAGCTAATAATCTGAGAACAAATTTGCATCCCAATTATTATATCCTCCTGCATCAACCTCTTTCGTAGAAGTGAATAAATGTCAAGGACTTTCATACTAAAGACCTATAAATAGTCATTCTAAAACACAAAGATTTCATTTTCCTAGTATCCCAAAGAAAAGTAGCCTTGCTTATTTGCATTCAATATATGGATTCTGGTATATCCTTTCTAGTAGCAGGAATTTATGAAAAAAAAGCCAAGGAGAACATTAATACAGCTATGAAAATATTTTCTTCCCCATTTAATCTTACAAAGATCATTTTCTACTGATACGGACAAAACGAGATCTGTAGAGGTCTTTACAAAAAATTACTGAGGGTATCCAGTTAGGTCCTAGGAGACTAGACAACAGTCTAACTGTTGTTTGTCTGTTCATTCAAGCATTTAATGCACTAAATTCCAGGAAAACAGCTTTTTTTTTGTTTGTGTGGATTTTTTTCCCTTTTTTTTGCAATTCCAATTGCAAATGAAAATCAGAATTGAAACAGTAAATTAACAAAAAAAGAGTAAATGAAAGACTGCAAGATAGGATTTCTGTTTATGGAGTGGAATTGAGAGGCGCAAATAACTGTGCTGACTTATTTATTCTGCAGAAAATTTTTTCATGGATAAGGAATTACAAAATCCTGGATGACTAGACAGTTTATGTGAAACTTTGGGGTCAGCTGCTGATTACTGAAACGGCAGCATGTTGATTCCTGGAGATTGCTCCCAGAGGGAAAAATGGTGTGTAACACCAGCAAAACCTGAATAGCAAAAATCTGAGAGAACAAGATGACCATTATGATGTCAGCAGGTGCAGCAAATCTACTTGATATATATCATCTATAATCCCTTCACACCATTTGCTTCTTTGAGATGTGAAAACAGAAACCCAAAACCTGTTGGGCTCTGTGTATCTATGCTGCATAATTCACAGAACTAAGACACAGAACTTCTCCCAGTGCAACCACCTGATTCTCAGAAACAGAACTAAAACCAGAAAAGCCTTCAAAGTAATTTTTTGAGAATGAGGCAATGATGCAATTTCCAGGAAAACACTGGAAAAATTTGAATCATGGTGCTAGTTACTTTTGAGAAATGATAATTTGCACTCAGTGTCATTTGTATTTCTCTGACAGGTAACAGAAGAAACAGGAAAGTTATGTTACATTTGAGTCAGTCTACATGCTCATCTTAGGTCTGCATAAGATTCTATTCACAAGCACTTTTAGTTCAGCAATAAATGCCAGCACAAGCTTTCAGCTCGTTTTGCTCTCAGGAATTTTCAGGGATCTCTTGGCCCTTAAAATCAAAACCAAGATCCTATCTCATGAATACAAACATAATCGTATGTAGCACACTGATGCCGATGTAAAGACCCTTTCTCTTGATTCTAGGGAGGATTTTCCAATTGTATGTTCAAGTTGCGTGGAAGACATCCCCCAGGCTGCTTAGGCTTTTGAATACTGGTGTGTGTTGCTAGCTTTAGGCAGAAAACTTGATCATCCTTACTAGGGTTTTCGAGAGACACCCTAAGGGTGCAGGTCTGTTTCACAATCTCACGAGCTCTTTCAGAGACTGCAAGACTTGCCAGTTTATTGAGGGCTACTTTTTTTTTCTGTTAGCCCAAAGAACGTTCCATAAGGCTTCACTCAAGGCATTACTCTGCTCTGGTCCAATGCCTCTATCAAAACTCTTATATAGGGCAGAAGAGGGCTTGGAAAATTCTTAACATTCTCTAGTCTTTGGGATGCACACTTCAGTCTTTGGGCAGGACCTGAAGGAGGGCCCTCCTTCTGCAGGACTGCTTTAGTGTCATTTATAAGTTCCTAACCTAACATCACGAAGATGCTACCTATGTTCAAATGCACTTAAACAATAATAAATGCCAGACTATCCTCTGGATCTCTCAAATATGGCCTATTCCATCTGTTTCTCCTGATTTTGTTCCATAGTTCCATCCCAAACATTCCAACACCATTAGGAAAATTTGTAAGCCTACCTCATCCTGATCTCAATGGCCACACATATAGCTGAAGGTAGATAATATTATTGTAGTTTTCTACATCCAAAACCAGAATTGTGTGAAATCCTTTCACAGAGTGTCCAGAGATGGTCAATCTCTGCTTTTAAAGCAGCAATGAAAGCTGCAATCATTACCTATTGTAGGATCAAACCAGCACTGCAGATCTTCACTACCATAAGCACTACTAGTGAATTGTTCTCTGAGTGCTGTAATAGGAGTAATCTGTCTTAAGATTTCATCTGTTTCCTTAATGACAGAAAACTTCTCATGTTCACATTTAGAATCCAGTTATTAAACATGTCATCATCTACTATATCCTACCAGAAGTTAAGAACTTATTTTAGATTTTGTCTGGGTAGTTTTTGAAGCAGCCTATCATCTTGTGGACAGAATACAGTTTCTGCTTGACAACTGAACACATTCTAGCACTCATTTGCTCATGCAGTAAATAGAGCTAGTGAGGTGTGACGGTCTGATGAATGACAAACTTATGACTTGTTTAAAGAAAAAGAGTATAGACAAGTCAGAAAATTAACTGTGAGATGGTTTGAGATTTTTTTTTTTTTAACAGCTTCATTTTACATCTACTTTTTGGTTTTTAGGGTTTTTCAATTCTGTGTCAGCTTATTCAGTCCAGAAGCATCAGGAGCATGGGACAATACACAGTAGGGATTTACCTGTGTTGCTGCCTCAGCCTCTGAAAAGACTGCAGCATTACCAAAACCTAAACAAGTCCTCATCCAGAAATGTAAACTTCCCTTTCTGTTCACTTGCAAACATGTGGCAGAACATGTTATGCTTTATATTCCTATGGTATCTACAACAAAAGATGACCACTCTCAAGATTACAGTAAACTCGGTGTCCATGACACCTGGTCATTCTCAAGTTACATTGTCTAAACAGAAGATTAACTTTTGAGCAATTCACCTGCAAAATCTGCTAGTTTTCTTTTATTAAAACTCACTACTGACTCTTCACAAATAAACCTTGTTGATTAATAGAGGATATATCAGCATCTGGACACCAAGCTTGAAAAGCTGTTTTCAGTGGGGAAGCAGAGTAATTCCCTGCCAGAGGAGCAGTTTTTGCTATGAAATCCTATTCCAGTAGCATTTAGAAGATAAAAGTTTTGTGTTCTAAAGCACTCAAAGCACAGAAAAAACTCTATGATCTATAATGAACTCCACCAAATTGACAAAAATGTTAGATTGCACTTTGCAGCACTATACAGGAAGTCCCAAGACTAATTAGTTTCTCTTTTTTATACAATTGCATTTTCACAAATTGTTCTGGCTGTCACAGCTGGCCTTGGGACTATTTACATTTTTTTGCATGCATTTGGGCTATCACTTATGTTGAGAGATAACTATATTCCTTGCACAGAAATACCAAAGGAAATTATCACAATCTGAGCAGTTTCAACTCCTGAGGCTTATTTTAATTATAATAGGGATAGCAAACCAATTCCAAGAATTGATGTTTTTTTCCTCCTTAATTGTCGGATCAGCAATGGTCATATTGAGAACTTTAGAATTTTGACTTTTGAATCTTCCTTTTCTTGGTTACCTCTTTTAAGCCTCCTTTATCTGCTTTTTATGGTGTTAATTCATAGTTTATATGATAGTCTGTTAGTAATTTCAAAATATATTTTAGTTGATCTGAAGTTGTCCGATTGCAGGATCATGGTGTGAAAAATTATTAAGTTCTCTGAGTTATTTTTCTATAGGAACAGCTACCCCACAATGTGGAGGGAAACAAGAAGAAAACCTATTTTCTGCCCTCTATACCAAGAAAACAAAGGATAGGAAAGGTTGCCTTACTAACTTACTAGTTACCTTTCTGAAGGAAACCAGTTCTCTGAGAAGTGGATGGTTCATGAGAGCTTCTCAGATCTAAGCAATGGCTTTCAGTGTAATTTCAAAGAAGGAAATCTAGATAATTATTTTTCCCCCTCCTTAAATTCATCCTTTTGTATCAATGAGAATAACAAAATTTATATGAAGACTATAACTATTTCTAACCTCTACATAACTGCATAATTTTCCTTCTTGCCTTTTTTTTAAAAATAGATTCTTTCTCCTTCCTCTCTCATTTCTTCTTTGTTTTTGCTTCTGTTGCTCTCATAACCTGCTCCCTTTTCATGGTTTTACTTTTTCCATTCTCAAGGACTTCATCACAGTCTTTCAGGTGAACCTCCAGGGTACAATGCTTTTCAGAAAGTACAACTCCAGATGACACTGTTTTTCACAACATTCACCTGGAGAAACTGCCTTCCCGTGGCATGGCTGGGTGCACTCTTTGCTATGTTGAAAAACTGTCTGGATAGCTGGGCCCACAGAGTGGTGATGAATGATGCTGCATCGAGTTGGTGGCCTGCCTCTAGTGGGGCTCCCAAAGGACAGTTTGGGAGTACTGGGGACAGTTCTGTTTCAGGAACAGTGTGGCCAGCCAGATCAGTGATCATCCCCCGGTGTTCAGCACTGGTGAGGCCACACTTTGAATCCAGTGTTCAGTTCTGGACCCCTCACTACAAGAAAGACATTGATGTGCTGGAGTGGGTCTGGCGAAGGGCAGCAGAGGTGGGGAAGGGTCTGGAGCACAAATCCTGGGAGGAGTAGGTGTGGGAGCTGGGGTTGTTAAGCCTGGAGAAGAGGAGGCTCAGTGGAGACCTCATCACTCTCTGCAACTGCCTGAAAGGAGGTTGTAGCCAGGTTGTCTCTTTTGCCAGGTAATGAGTGATAGGATAGGAGGAAATAGCCTCAAGCTGCACCAGCTGAGGTTCAGGTTGGACATCTGGAAGAATTTTTTCACTGAAAGGGTTGTTGAGTCATGATCCCTAAGGGTATCTAGAAGACATGCAGATGTGGCACTTGGGGACGTATTTTAGTGATGACCTTTGGAGTGCTGGGTTAGCAGTTGGACTCCATGTTTTTAGAGGTCTTTTCTGACCTAAAGGATTCTATGAAAAAGATGTACCTACCCAATTTGAAATTAAATTTAACTGTGCTTTATGTCATTTTTCAGTCTTAGAGGATAGGGAGCTTTTCTCAGCAAATTGAGAGAATATTGTATGACTCTCAGAATCCCAAAAACTGCAAAATGATTATAATACTTGAAATCTCTTAGCAATTTAAGGCTTTGAAATTCAAATACTACTCTCCTCTACAGAATCCTGAATTATGAAATGTCTCAGTGTCACACTGAGATGATCTGCTTTGCTGGGACGGTTAAAATCTAAACAGAGAAAATAACCTGTGATGACCAACGCAACCCAGTCAGACTTTGTTTATGAACAGAAGCATAAACACTTCCAGAAATTTTTGTCTAAGTTGAAGCTTAACTTCCTAGTGAGAGGCTTTGATGTCACAGTAAAAAGCACAAAAGGTGAGAGGCTTTAAGAGCCAGGAAGGGTCGTGTAGACAGAGAGATTTACAAAATTTTCATGAGTATCTGAAACAATCTTTCAAAATGTTTCAAATGTACAGGTGACTGTCTGATAAACTGCTTGTTTTGCAATAAAGTTATTCTTACATTTGGGATTAGGACACAGCATCAGGTGATGCATGATATCCCAAGCAAGTTTTGCATCTGGTGTCAGTGTGGTTTTGTTTTTGTTTCCTGGCACTTACTGCTTTCAGTAATATGCTCATACCAAAGCTGGCAGGTCCTAAACCTTAGTATGGGCTCCTAATCAGCACAGTCACAGAAATTTGCTTTCTAAATTAAATGCTTAAACATGCTATTACCAGAAAATATATGCAATGAGTAAGTAAAACTGGCGTGTAAATCTCCTTTTTAATCAGGACTACTTAATTACTATGCAAGTCAACCCACTACAGATTTACAAAAATCAAGATGGTAACTCCACCCTGCTGCAGTTGTGTGGAACAAGACAGAAAGCAAAGGCAGAAATTTAGGTGCAGGCAAGCACTGAACAGTTCTGTTTCCTATACTCAGCAGAAATTCAGATGTGAGATATCCCAATTGCTTAGGACACGTACCTGGCTGTAGCTCTGGATGGCACCTCTGGCCTGACTGCTGCGGGACGGGAGCTGGGCGGCTGCTGTTTCACCCAGGGCGAGGGTCTGGTTGCTGTGGTAGCTAGCTGAGTACTGGAAAGATCCTTCAGGTTTGGAATTGAGTTGGAGTGCACTCTGGGAGAGGAGGCTGGGCCCTGTGAGGACAGGATTTGAGAGCAGTCAGAAAGTCTCAGTGAAAGAGCATACCTGTATTATGTCAAGTGAACCTTGAAATTACCAGATGTATCTGGCTTCAGATTTTCAGTTTTGCTTGTCAGTAATAAAAATCACATAGCTTACTTTGTTTCTTTATCACTCAGTCATCATCATTATTGTGTTCAAGCAACAGACCATATTGCTTTCTTTGCAAGAAATGTATGGTTTCGACTGGTGAAGAAATTCTATGCTTAAACAAACCCAACTGTACTATTTGATAAAGAAATCTTGATTTTCAACTCACAAGAGTTGATGATGGCTGTTTCCCCCCTAAGGATAAGCCTTGTTTATTTCACTTAATTATATCCAGTCATTCTGCCTGGGAAATGCTAACTTGTCCCTCCATGGGCCCCCAGCACATTACATCTATTGATTACTGCCACTCTGTCCTATGCACACAGTGATGTAATACTTTGGTGCCTGTAGGGATGGATGGCAGCCTTTAAAATAATAATTGCTCCTCTCATCATGCAAGACACACCCTGATCTCAGTGAATCTTTGAGGACTGTTTGTCAGCCTATCTTTCCTTCTCCATCACAGCATTGCATGTCAGGAGAGCCAAGTGTAGGCAGGGAGCTTAAACTGGGACTGCCAGACTGAAGGGCATGTCAAGACCATGAACACCAACACTTTCCACAGTTATTTGGTAGTTCTGTGAAACTAAAACATGTTCTAATATTCATTAAGTTCATGTACAAGTGATTTAGCTTACTGCATGCTCATAGCAAATTTCCCAGTTTTTGCCCTTAGACCATGTATCAGATAGGGAACAGTCTTTTCATGAAGAGATTGAGTGCACCCTCAGCATATTTGCAGGTGACCCCAAGCTGAGTGGTGCAGTTGACATACCTGAAGGATAGGATGCCACCCAGAGGAACCTGGGCAAGGTCAAGGAGTGGGCCCATGAGAATTTCATGCGGTTTAAGAAGACTGATGCAAGGTGCTGCATCTGGGTCAGGGCAACTCCTGGTATCAATAAAGGGTGAACAGCAGCCCTGCCGAGAAGGATTTGGGGATGCTCACGGATGAGATGCTGGACATGACACACAAATGTGTGTTTGCAGTCCAGAAAGCCAGTTGTGTCCTGGGCTGCATCAAAAGCAGTGTGGCCAGCAAGTTGAGGAAGGGGATTCCGCCCCTCTACTCTGCTCTGGTTATACCCCATCTGGAGTACTGCATCCATCTCTGGGGTTCTCAGCACAGTAGGAATGTCTGTTGGAGCAAGTCCAGAGAAGGGCCACAAAGATGACTGGAGGGCTTGAGCACCTCTCTTCTGAGGAAAGGCTGAGAGAATTGGGTTTGTTCAGTCTGGAAAAGTAAAAGCTTCAGGGTGACCTAACTGTGGCGTTACAGTACCTGAAGGGGGTATACAAGAAAGATTGAGAGAGACTTTCTACAAGGGCATGTAGTAATAGGACAAGGGGAAATTGCTTCACACTGACAGAGTAGGTTCAGATTAGACATTAGTAAGAAATTTGTCCCTGTGAGGGTGGCAAAACTTGGGCACGAAAAGTGTTGAAGGCCAGGTTGGGTGGGGCTTTGAGCAAGCTAGTCTAGTGGAAGGTGTCCCTGTCCATGGCAAGGCGGGTTGGAATTACATGATCTTTAAGGTTCCTTCCAACCCAAACCATTCTGCGATTCTATGATTCTATGATACATGAAGAGCTAAATTAAAGAATACCTGCTTAATCCTTTTTTATGTCTCCAGTGGCTTTGTTTGCTGCTGTCAGGGCCCAGGAGGTGAAATACAACAGGAGAGAAAAGGGTTATACTGTGGCCATTGCATGGGTTACAGAGAAGTCTACCTTCAACCCCACAGGTACAATCTACAGCACACTCAGTGGCTCCACAGGGATGACAGATTTATCTTCTGGTTAGCACTAACAAGCTCATGAGAGCACAGAAAGTGACACAAACCTTAAGGGATGTGAAATGATTACAATGATTTTGCTCCTACAGAACATTTAAAAAGTATAGGTTTACAAAGACTCATGATGGAAAAATTCCAATGAATCTACCAGAAGCAACTTCCAATACATTCCTGATACAAAGATAATTTTTATGACCTTTAAGTCTTTGCTATGAGGATATACAGCTGCTCCAAAAAGATTCCTGCTTAGAAGATGTGCAAGCAACCCCACCCCCAAAATACATGGAGAGCATTTTTTCTCTAGCCTGTTTCTCAGATATGGCAGAACCATTATAACTGCTATTTTCCAAAATTCAACCCAAACTGCTCATATTATAAACAAATCGTAGTAGGCTGTGTAAAGTGGAAGTGTTTGCATCTAAATTTAGTCTGGGATTATGATACTATTTTACATATCAACACAATTTATACTGCAAAGTCAACTGCATTCATCAGAACATTCCAGATACAGGAAGACTGGCCATTACCATTACCAGATACAGGACAAATTTAGAACATAAGGACTGGTCCCTGTATTTTCTTAAGCAGTACAGAAGGAGGCAGGGCTCCATGAATGCTTGTGAGGTTTGTAAAAATGTATCACATCCACAGAAGAGCTGAATTTAATCCTGCATGGGTGCTTATAAATCCAGCATTTGGTAACTTTCATTCCTTGAAAGTGCAAATAGAGTTTACAAAGCATTTTCCATTTAACTGGTTTTGTTGCAATTTTTCTTTTTTAATGAGAGAAGTAGTTTCACAGGTTTGTTTGGGTTTTTTTGTTTGTTTGTTTTTTAAGAGCATAAAGAAAATACATGTTTAGTTCTATAATGTATCCCTAGGCTTTATTTTAATCTTTTGGATTTTGAGCTTTCACTGAGAATGTATCTGTGATCAAGTGATGAACAAGATCAAGTTCAGAAAATTCACAAAAGCATAACTTTCCCATGAGAAGCAAAAGTTGCAGCAAGAAAGCAATTTTTGTGCATGAAAGTGTTTGTACTCATTCTGAAAGTAATTATGCTGTGACATTTCTAAAGCTTAAATAATGATTAAACTATCACATGCTATGAACGCAATATGTTTAAATTTTCATTGCATCTGGCTTTCAAGTGCTGCTTTCCTATTACTGTGGCTCACTAGGGGATTTACATCACCATCTAGAAACGCATACATGGGTTCCTTGCTCCATTTAGTTTAAACACTTCCATGCACTTAAAGAAACTTATCCAATCCATTGAAAAAAAAAAGAATGTAAAAAGTTTGGAGCGTATGGCTTTAATTTCACTAAAACACTCTATAGCAGTTTTTATTTTGTATCTTAACAAGCAGTAATAAACAATTAAATCATATATATATTTCAATAATTACAAATTAATTTGAAAGACACATCCAGATATTTTAAATAAACCTAGGGTTTTAAATAACCCCAAGCAAACACAGGATAGAGTAGTAGCTGCACACCTGTAAGTATCCAAGTCTAAACTCAGCATACAAACTATAAGATACATTTGAGATCAATCAACATGATCTTGAAAAAAACACAAGTTCCTTTTTCAGGATTTAGGACCTACAAACAGTCCTGCCTTGTCTGATAGGGAAAAATTGATTGCTTTTCTCATTAACATTCTTGAGATTTCAATCTGAAGGTAAAACCAAACCTTATGAAGAGCCTGCAGCTCATCTAGAGGGGAAGTTTCTATATGCTGATGGCTCTTGACAACAACTAAAACAACTACCTAAAATTTAAACTCTGTTGTGTTGGTATAAGAAAGTGTTCAGTCAACTATTTTTCATAGTTAAGGCAGATGGAAATTCTCTATTTTCAGCTAGGCACTTGATATCATTAGTTAACTGCTAGCACAATTCAGTCTTAGTTGTTACCTTAATGAGCCATAACTAAATACAAATATTTAATTTAAACCAAACCCTTTTGGCTTCATAGGGTTTAGTATAGCAGATATCCATGATTTGCAGTATTGCTTTAAAAATTTGCACTATGCTTTGTATCTATTTGAGAGTATGATAAAGATATAATTACGTTTTCCTTTATGTTTTTCACCACCACATAAAAAAAAAAAATCTTTTTCCTTGTGAAAACGAGTATTAGTGTTGGATTATTCATAGTTGATAGTGCCAATTTTTCACTAATTCAGTTAGTGCCTTTTCCCTCCTGCATTCAAATAGTACAGATCATAGTAAAAATTCAGGAAATAAAGTCAGAGCCATCATACTGCAGGAGATACTGCTGTGGACTGACTTCAAATGATGGTGCAGGATATAGTAATTAACAAATTTATTTCCATTTTGGTGGAGAGGTTCTGCAGACAGTACCTTTCTCTTTCTCTTAACCTTGAGCAGAGCAGTGTGCAAGCCTCCCCAAGCTGTTCACCCTGGCCTCTATAAACCAGCTCAGTAAGGAGCTTGAGAGAGAGGGTGTGTGTCTAGCTTGTGACACAAAGTGCACTTGAGCTGTGGAAAGCCGCTGGAGCACAGAGAGGAACAGGCAAGGAGAAAACAAAGAGATGAAGATGGAGGATATGGCTACATCAGGAGCCACCCCAGAATGAAACTTCAGAGGCAATGGAAAGCACTTTTTAGAGAAGGGAAACAGGAATTTCTTTAGCGGTTTGGAGATTCAGGTGACAGGCGCGGCAGGGTTAGAGGAAAATGAATCTCTCATTCAGGCAGAGAGGGGAAGTGCAAACTCCTTGTGAAGCCCTTTTCCTTAGTTTATATTACCCACCCCTCTTACTATCAGTTATGTTGGCTATTATATGGCTATTATTTTTCTATTTCAAAACTTATTATCTTCAGAGATCTGGAGGACCTGAGAGTGCCTTGCACACTTACTTCAAGCCAAACAGGGAAAAGCAGCAGAGGCAGCCCAAGACTCAGCCCTACCCTGACTTCTATTGCTAAAAAAAGCAGCACTGAAGCCCAGGCTTGCTGTCTTCCTGCCATACTGCATTTGACAAACTAAGCATAGCCTGGCATTACACTGAACAGGCTGATTCGTGGCATTTAGT